CAAACATTGCAATATCACAAATGTCAGAAGTACTGAAGGTATTCATAATACCACCTTGTTTTTGCAATTTTTTTACCCCTACATTATATATATATATTATATATAAGCTGTAGGAGAAAATCCCACAAATTAAAAACAAGCTTGTAAACACTTTCAATTAGAGTAATGATTGCATATTCTACACTCAAAAGTCACATTTACTAGTCTTATAACCAAGGAATCACAGATGCTTGTAACTATTTTAGGTCAATCATTCAACAGCACTAACAATGATAATGACTCATTATTAGTTCAAACACTAATCAAGAAGTGGAAAATGAGGGGTTCTGTTGAAACCAAACCACGGTCAGGTAGACCAACTAAAATTTCAGCCACAACTGCCAGGAAAATTGTTCAGGATGCAAAGAAAAATCCACAAATTACTTCAGGTGAAACACAGGACTCTCTGAAAACATGTGGTATGGCTGTTTCAAGATGCACAATAAGGAGGCACTGGAAGAAAGGTGGGTTGCATCTTTTACTACGCAAATGCCACAAAGTATCCCACTTACAATACGCCAAACAGCAGAGACAAGCCTCAAACCTTCTGGCACAAAGTCACCCTAGGGCAACATTTGGAGAGGAGTCAACAAGGCCTATGATGAAAAGTACACCATTCCTACTGTGAAACATGGAGGTGGATCACTGATGTTTTGGGGATGTGTGAGCTACAAAGGCACAGGAAATTTGGTCAGAATTGATGGCAAGATGAATGCAGTATGTTATCAAAAGATACTGGAGGAAAAATTTTCATTCATTAGCCCGGAAGCTGTGCATGAGACATACTTGGACAGTCCAACATGACAATGATCCTAAACACAAGGCCAAGTCGACCTGTCATTGGCTACAGCAGAATAAAGTGAAGGTTCTGGAGTGGCCATCTCAGTCTCCTGACCTCAATATCATTGAGCCACTCTGGGAAGATCTCAAATGTGCAGTTCATGCAAGACAGCCCAAGAATTTACAGGAACTGGAGGCTTTTTGCCAGGAAGAATGGGCAGCTTTACCATCTGAGAAGATAAAGAGCCTCATCCACACATACCACAAAAGACTTCAAGCTGTCATTGAGGTTAAAGGGGGCAACCGTATTAAGAACCGGGGTATGTAAATGTTTGATCAGGGTCATTTGCGTAATTTCTGTTGTCATTGTGATTTAAAAAGAGTAAACACAGTTGACGATAATAAATGGCTTCAGCCAACCACTAACCATGAGTGAAAGTTTTTGTGTTATAATTCATATTCTCTGAAAATTGGCCAAGAAATCATAAATTCTGCCAGGGTATGTAAAATTATGAGCACAACTGTATTTGAGGAGTGGGAGAGAGAGAGAGAGAGAGACTGAGAAAAAAGAGATTAGAATCGAAATATCAGCTTGGTCACAACTGTAACACAGTTAGAACAACAGTATAAAAATGTTTATGTTTTCAAACTTTGTCTATATACAAACAATCAAAACCTACTTTAAAAATATGGAATACCATTTGCCTACAAGAAATTTCAACACTACTTATTTTATTTTATTTTTCATTTTTGTATCGCAAATTTTTAAAAGTTTTAAATATTTAGCAATAATTTTAAATTGTAAACTGCTTTGAGATTCTGTTTTTTTTTTTTTTTAAAACTGGAAGCAATATAGAAACATTTTAAATCAAGAAAAATTCAGAAAAAGACTAAGGATTATTTTATTTGGCGAGCTATTGCTTAGGCCAGTTTAAAATATGTACAAAAAAGATAGGATTAAGTAATTAAATGAAAATGGAAATTAATACTGAAGAAATTAATATTTTACTGAAATCTTTATTCCTAATAATAATCTTTTTATCGACTTCTTTATATCATGGGAATATTTAATTTATTTCCATTGTTTAAAATGGGCTATTATAGTTAACTTATTAAGCTGTTGGAAGCATAACTTCCATTTCCACAAAATATTTTATTTAATATATTATACTGATTGGGGAGTAAAATAGAAAATAATTATGATTAAAGCTTCTAACATTACACTACATGCTAAGGTAATTAACGTAAGACCTATATTCTATAAGTTTTCAAAAGTTTTGGGACTGTATCAACTTTCATCTACAGCATTCATTAATGAGGCTAGTAATGTATCACATTTTTCTTTTTAGCACTCATATGAATGCTGCTCTAGAAGTTGTGAAAATTTGCTGGCATACCACACATCGGAGGCATTGCACTAGTGCGTGCAAGAACGAGGATAGATAGCAAGATAAGCTTTTATTACACAAAGGAAAATCTGCTTGTAAGACATTGGATCTTGTTTTTATCACTTATTCCTGAATAAACTCATTGAACTTATTTAGGTTTTTAAAATGTAAATATGATTATAAATAAATTACAATTACTTAACCTATTTCTATATTTCTAACATAAAATATGCTAAAAGAGCTAAATGAGGCACAACAAAATTAATTGCTATAACAAATAGAAATATATACAGAATGTATGGTTATGAAAGCACGGAGCATGCCCAAAGTTTTCTTATTTGCTGATTCATGTATATCAATATGCCTGTATTTTTTACATCATATCTGCACAGCAAACACAAAGTCCTAACAGAGCAGCCTGACATGAAACTATGTTTAATAAACCATCAGTATGAGGACATAGCATCACATATCTTTTTCTCCTTTCCAATAAAGCAGGATTTAACAAAGAGATAATGGCAGTGTGTTCCTTTATCATTCCTTCTCTTATCTTTTAAAATTTGTTTCTATCATAGCTGCCAGAAAGAAAACATGTGTTTCTATGTAGGTGTATATATATATGATATATATGTGTATGTGTACATATGTGTGTGTGTGTGTGCGTGTGTATGTAATGATTTTTCTGTCAAACCAACAATATATTTTAATTGGAAATTAAAATTCCAGTTGGAAATGTGCTCATTACTGTATATACAATTCACATTAAGCAGGCATCTCATATCAGCAAGCATCAAACAACTGTCAGAGCTGACATATTTCTGATTGCCAAAGGCAATTCTTATTATCTAATACCAAAAATCAAGTTCCAATATTACACTTTTGAGAAATTTGCATATATTCGCTTCTCCTTGGGCTGGCTTTTCTCTTAGCATTATCTTAGCAAGTATACTCATTCCTGCCTTTCCGTGCTTGGATAACTACAGTGCTTCAACAGGGCAAACTAATTGTCCAGCTTTCCCCAACCATTCTACTGACTAGAATGATATGACTCACAGGATATTACAGAGTGTTGACCTATCCAATTCTGTAGTACAGGAACTAACCAAGATGAGCCAAGATTCTATCAGATACGCAAGCACACTGACATCATAAGAAGGTTGCTAGCCTCAAATAAAGTGGGAGGAGACAGTAACAATGACTTTTTATTTTCTAAGTCTGATTGGAATAACAATATCTAAACTTGATCTGCAGTGAAGGATTTCAATATAGTAATAACTCACCCTATTCAATGTATTTTATCTCTTTAACAAACAACATGGCTCATGGCTTCAAACCCCCAAATTTCTCTCATGTAACTCTTTATTAAATTTTGAAATAGCAGAGGCAATTAAAAATAGATACTCCATCTTTCCCTATTCATTTCAAGGATGCAGTTCTATATTACAAAGGCAGAAATGTTACAAATTGAAAAACTTCCCATTTCTAAATTTCAGCTTTTAATGTATGAATTTATCTTGTTCATAAATGTGCTTCCATCACTCACTAATCCTCATCAAGCTTATGAACAGAATTGTAACTAAGAATATAAGCGTATTTTCAAAACTGTGAAAGCCAATATAAAGTGTATTATAAAGCAGTGGAGACAGCTCAAATCAATTACTAAAATGAAATGGAAATAGATGAATATACCTTAGTTAATCAGCCTCTGTGTGTGTGTGTGTATGTGTGTGTGTGTGTGTGTGTGTGTGTGTGTGTATATATATATATATATATATATATATATTCTGAGGTTTTTGCGGGTATTTGTATATGTGGATCTTTGGTTATTCGGGTTTTCTCCCACGTAAAATTGGAAGTATCTTGGCAATGTTTCGACGAAATCTCATTTGTCATTTTCAGGCTTGTGTCTTCGGCTTTGTGCTTCTCGGAGTAATGGGAGCTTGCAGCTGCTTCTTTGCAAGCTCACATTACTCCGAGAAGCACAAAGCTGAAGACACAAGCCTGAAGATGACGAATGAGATTTCGTCGAAATGTTGCCAAGATACTTCCAATTTTACGTGGGAGAAAACTCGAATAACCAAAGATCCATATATATAGTGTCAGACGAACACTATACAGAAGCCTGATGATGGCAGATGAGATTCTGCCGAAACGTTTCTACAACTTTAAAAGCACAACTATAATGACGTGGGAAAATACCCGAACAAAGCTGAATACCATAAATATAAA